TCTGCAGATGGGTTTTGGAAGCACTATCATTTTCTCCTTCATCCGTCCCCCAAACATACTCTGAAATCTTTGTAAATAGTCCAAACATCTTCTGCTACCGCTAAAACGGACATCAAATAGAAACTTAGTGTCTTAAACGCTTCAAATGTTCGCCAATAAGTTTCCATCTTTTGCGCAACAAAACGCCGCCATTCTGTTGTTACTTTCTCAAGGTTTCGCGCGGTCGCAACCTGGACTAGGAAAGACTGGGTACCAACATCAACTCCAACATGGCGGTCGACATTGAATCTTTTTGTAGTTGAAACAGTGGCCGTCTTCTGAGTAGTGTTTGCGGTGCTGAAGTGCTATAGAATAGAATGACACATCATGAACAAGAGTAAAGAGCTGGAGTGTATATTATTCTGTGAATTCCACCCAATTGCAGGGCCAAAAATCGTTTATCAGGTAAGGTGTATGTTTCAGACAGACACTGAGTCAGACAGACAGACAGACAGACAAACTGATAGAATTTTCACGTTCACCGTGCAAGCTACTTTTGCCAGAAAGAAAAGATAAGTGCCGTAAATCCTCTGTTGTTAAATTAAGCCCCCCTCTCTAATTAAAGCCCCTCTTTTTTGAGGAAGAAAGTTATTAAGCACCCCCTGTCTATTGAGCCCTCCCTCCCCTCCCCCCTTGCTTCACACAATCAAGTTAATAAATGATAGACTGTATTTGTTATGTAATCACGACTGTAACACTTCATGTGGAGTGATCCGGTATGGTATATTTACGTGTTGAAAGTTCAAATTTGTTTTTGGTCTTTGGCTACATCACCTCCAACTTCAAGTGGTTGAACTTTTCCACTCAAATCTCCATATTAAACAGTCATTGCCCTGGTCCAAAACAGGAAGTAGGAAGGAAGTAATCCTAGTCTGTTTCTTCCTCTTTTTTTTGATACCGGTAATACATTCTGCCAGGAATTAAATAAGCCCTCCCCTCTCAAATAAGGCCCCCCCCCCGTCTCTCATAAGCACCCCCTGAAAAGTGCTTAAAATAAATAAGCCCCCCTGGGGGCTTCATAGAGGATTTACGGTAGTTTAGAAAGGCTCTGCTAACAGGGTGCATGCTGTGATAAATGTCAAGGGTTAGTTTACATTCAGGACCTTCTGCATTTAAGGTCGCTAAAAATTGAAGCTTATGGCTTTCACAGTAGCTAAAGATGTTCAGTTCAAAAAGATTTACTTGCCTGTGAAAACTAGTTGTCCTCCTGCTGAAAACATGAATGAAAACCCTGCATAGCAGTCCTGCCACCTAACTAATGTACTTCACCCCAACAGGCAGTCTCCTACAGCGACTTTATTGCTGACCACTTCCCTTGAACATGATGTGAACGTGAGAGTTTGGTCTTTTTGAAGTTTATTAAATAATGTTATTTAATGTCAGGTTCCAGAAGACTTCATATCCAAAGAGGAGTTTGACTGCGTTGCTGTTTATATAATCCCAAAACCTGAGCTACAGAGCAAGCTCATTACAATGTAAGACATTTTTNGGTTCCAGAAGACTTCATATCCAAAGAGGAGTTTGACTGCGTTGCTGTTTATATAATCCCAAAACCTGAGCTACAGAGCAAGCTCATTACAATGTAAGACATTTTTGATGCCATGACTTTGTTTTCTTTCAATAATTCCTGTTTTTTAGTGATCATAGTGATTTTGTCATCACATTACACATGTACAAACTAGATCGATGTACAGTGGAAGCTTTAACAGTGAGTATGACTTTCAACCTCAACTGTGATGCATATGCTCTGAGTGATCATTACCAGTCTGGGAGATGTAGCACCTGTAGGCATCTAATGGCTAGCTCTCTGGAATCGAAATCAAGTGGTCTAGGTTGAAGCTCTGACCATGCCACTGATTTGTTTGCTTTGTTCAGACAGTGTACTCTAACAGTAGAGTGCCTACAGTCTCTCCATCTAGGTTTATCCATGGGTACTGGTGAATTTAATGCTAGAGGGGGATAAACCTATGACCCTTATCTGGGGGAAGGTGGAAGTACTTGTACTCCTAGCTGCTTATAAAATGCTAAATGAACCTTGGGATGAGCCATGGTCTGCAGGATTCAATACAGACTTCGTTTACCGTTGGTACCAGTATTTTATCAAGATTGTCATATACATGTACACAGTATCATGGGCCAATATCTCATTAACAGGGCTTTTTGAACAAGATTAGTTACTAGAAAATACAGCATAGAGAGCTTTACTCACAGGGATAGACATTAGCTATTAGGGTTGCAGCCCGTTGCATGTACTTTCACTGGCTGAAAGAAACTACCTGAACTACCTGAACTACCTGAAAGATTTTCCCATTAATCTTTGGAGGTGTAAATGCCAGAAAAGCTGTTTGGGCTCGTTAATGAGCTGTACTGTTGGGAGGTGGGGTGGCCTCATTGCTAGTGCTCTCATCTCTGGATTGAGCAGTCCGCATTGAAGACCTAACCTCAGACATTGTGTTGTATTGTTTTCTTGGGCAAGACACTTTACTCTCACAGTACCTCTCTTCACCCAGTAAATGGGTACCAGGGAACTTAATGCTGGGGGTAACCCTGCGATGAACTAGCATCCCATCCAGGGGTAGTAGAAATATTTCTAGTCACTTCATGCTACAGAATTTGGGATAAGCTCTGGCCTAATGAGTCACTTGGCTAGTATGCAGACTTTACCATCCCTCTGCTAGTACACGCACTCATTCTTACATACATGTACTGTGCTAATGTACTGTGAACAAAAGGTAACTAGTATTAGATATTTCTTCTTACAATTCCTACAAATTCAAAAAATGTTTAGACTTTGTATTTAATTACCTCTTACAAGCCGTCTATCAATGGTAACGTTTATGCAGTCCTTTGTTTGGCAATTTTCAGGTATCTGATTTTTTTCTTTTTCAGTAATGCTCTTGATCGCAAGTTCATTGGTTGCCCCATTAGTATAGAAAATGCCAAGTATTCACGGAATGCTCTAGTTTTCAATGTGTGCTTTGTCCTTGGTCCAAACGTTGACACCATTCGCTACGAGGGTGTGGTGAAGAAGTTAGCAGGGTATATGACGTCACTTGAGGTAATTTAGAAAGTATATTAAATAAGATATCAAAAATTTACATTGATTCAGTGACATAGGGTAGTTTCATTACATAGCAGAGTAAAACACAAACACAAGAGCAGTTGTATTAAATACATGAATAAAAGAACATGGATGGTAATGTCAGGGGCATATGCAGATATACAGCATTAACTGATGTTTTGTAACACTAATCTGCCTTAACATTGTAAACATTAATTGATCATTTGAATTGCTTTCAGCTCGAGTACGGTTTTCTATCACAAGAAGAAACTAAAGCATCTCTTCCTTGTGTCCTTTCGGAAATCGTTCTTGAGCTAAATGAAAAAGGAAAGTGCACGATACAGATAGGTGAGTAAGTTAATTCTGCTGGAATTATGTAGTAAGTTTTTTAAAAAATTCATTGTTTTGCGGTAGGGGTTTTCATCTGCATACAACTGTTGAGGATATACTACAGTAACTGTAAATACATGTAGTTGAAAGTTGTAAAACAAAGTAAATAACAAGTAGAAATGATTTAATCACAAAAATTAATGCAATGCAATAAGAACAGTTATGTTTTATGTATAGTAATGTAGAGTAATGTAAGTAGACGGTAGTGTAATGTAAGGTTGGTCCTGTATGTAAAAAAAAAAAAAAAAAAAAAAAAAAAAAAA